CTTTTAGTCTTTAAGGGTCACCGGATTTCCCAAATCAGAAGTTGACCAATTGGCTGGGTGTCACTTTTAGTTGGCTTTACTGCAATACAAGCTTAGTCTTTAAGGGTCACCGGATTTCCCAAATCAGAAGTTGACCAATTGGCTGGTGGGTGTCACTTTTAGTTGGCTTTTAGCTGGCAATACAAGCTTTTAGTCTTTAAGGGTCACCGGATTTCCCAAATCAGAAGTTGACCAATTGGCTGGCGGGTTTCACTTTTAGTTGGCTTTTAGCTGGCAATACAAGCTTTTAGTAGGCCTTAAGGGTCACCGGATTTCCCAAATAAGTTGACCAAGTGGCCGGTTTCGCTGAACCGATCCCTTTGGTCCAAAGGAAGGCGGCCCCAAAAAAGGTCTGGGGCACCGGGCGCGTAGTCGCCGGGGTCCCGGGACTCATCCGCCCTACGGGGAAAAAAAAGTGCGGACTGGAACATGTGGAGCAAATCCGCCTCCCCCGTCTCCCGGAGAAAAAACAAAAAAAACAGCTTTGACACACAGATCCGACGAAAGAAGGCGAACTGGCTTGCCAGCTGGGGTTGGACATTGATGTCCACCCACGGCCGAATGAAGGAAACTCCAACAGGATTGGTTGAAAGACAGATTCAACGTCCAACAGCTTCATCGGGCAAAAAGTTTCAGGCCCTTAAGGCCGACGCGCAGGAGGGAGACAAATGTTGGTAGCTCGTTTCTTTTCGAGGGTACTCCGATTGGCTTGTGTTTTTGTTACGGGAAACCAAAAGGAGAAAACCCATTTTGGAAGGTACCCAAAGAAAAGACACACCCACATTCTCTTTCGATCATCTGTATACATTCCACTTGCTGTCAGGAAGTGCATCGCATTTGTAGAAACACTGGCTAGCTGGATATTCATGGGGAGTGTTCCACTCCCGCCTTCTCCCTGCCTTTGGCAGCTTACTGACATTGCGGGTGCTATGATTGATGACTTGGTTTGGATTCTTGGGTAAGCTCTTTTCCCTGCACCAATCAGGCACTCTGCAACCCCCGTCAAAGAGCCCTTTCAGCTTATCAACCCCGAGCCCTGTGCAAGGAGGTCGAAGGCGGATTTTTTTCGCTGGATGTCCGTTTGTTTTTGGCTCGGAGTCCCCTTTTCTAGAACATCTTTAAGAACAGTTTTCCAACACGTTCCTTAAAACGCAAAGGGAAAATGAATTTCGGTTCGAGCACTCCATGGTTGCTTGCCAGCCACTACTTGGCCCTTCTTCAACAAAAATCGCTGGGGAACATGCAATGGGCAATTTACGTGTAGATTTCGGAAGTTCCGCTCATTGGGCGAAATAAGGACAAAAACGTATGCCCACTGTGCATGTTTTTCTTTTACCGTTTTGCGCAAAGAGCCCCCTCTTGGGATCCCTTTCCCCACATCCCCATGGGTCCCATCTATTCGGCCACCTTCCTTCTGGGAATCTTTCGCTTCTTCCGGCGGCCGCCGAAAAAAAAAAAAAAAAAAAAAAAAAAAAAAAAAAAAAGCTCGCTCCCCGTGTTTCACCAGCCCTTCCCGGCGCCACCCGCCGGGACGGAGCGACATTTGGGACCAGTTCCCTGCGCCGAAGCCGCGCAAGCGCCTGTAGAGACCGAAGTCCACCATGCCGCAGAAGAGGAAGATCTGGACCCAGCCGGTGAAGGGAACCTGGCGCTCGGATCTGAACCGGAAGGATTGAGCCGGAAGCTGAGGCTGGGCTCCGGGAGAAAGGTCACCCATGGTAAACAGGGACAGCTCCGGCGATCAAACTCAAAAATCATATGAATTCTGGGCCTCTCAAGAAGCCTTACAATGATTCTCTAATTTTCCCCAAGGTCCATGACCATCCCTACCCAAGCAAAGGGGTAAAGTGACTGTGGCACACATGAGTCCTTATTCTCAGGCTTGCTTTGGAACTGCTGGAGGTCCACTTTGGGTTCAAAATGGGAATTGGACCTCATGAAAACTTCCTGATGCTCAGTAGGGAATGACCCAGGGTGTTAGGAATGAACCTAGGGATTCCCGTAAAGGAAACAGTAGGGGATGGTATATAGGGGTCATTCCCTCATTCCCTGCTGAGAACCTTTTGGTTTCTCTTTCACGGGTGCAGAAAATGAAACTTGGGCCCAATGGCAATGCATTCTTCTGGATTTCCCTTTTGGATGACCTTTGAACACCAATTACAGCAAGTCTGAAAAGCCTGGACCTCAATGGAGCTCCTTTTTTGCTACTTTCTTTGTGGGTCCTGGCAGAAACACAAGGTCCCGAAACCTGCAAGGCCCGCATTGGATTGCACCCCTATGGACCTCCTCTCATGAGTTGCAATATTCCATAACCACTGCAAGGTTGAATTGGCAGTGGGTCAAAATAGGTGCCCAAAATGGGTTACCCTGGTAAGTGGACCAAAATTTGCGGTCCATATCCTGATGGTTTAATTTTGACCCATCTCCAATTGAGTCATAATCAAAACCCGGTATTAAAATGGTCGACCAGAAACATGTAAAGAATTATGAAGGCGGAACTCCGCAGCTATTTACGGCAAGGGGAGTGTCCCTTAACCTTCATCAATCCCGGGTTTTGAGCCAGTGACTCAATTGACGTTCAGGGAGCCCCTTCTTTTTGCTGGATGTGGCCATGGGTCAAAACCCAAATCGTACCCCAAACTGATTTTTAATCCAACCACCAAAATAGGCAACCTAAAAAAATGTGGGTGGTGAATTCACCCATCCACCCACCCAAAATTGGGGGATCCACCCTTGAGCGGAAACCAACGACCACCTCCCTTGGATGCCCTATGGACCCGAAGGCCTTGCCAAGGGCTGCGAGGCCATTCGGCACCTCCGAGAACTTCAGGCTCTTCGCCGGCCTGAACCGAGAGATCTGATCTGGGTGGTGGATTTGTGGTCAGTGAAACAGGGACCCGGATGCATGGAAAAACACCGGAACATTGCAACTTGTAAATGGCGGCGTCCCTGAAGTTTGGTAATAATAAAATCGCCTTCTCAGAAAGGTGGCTCTCCGGTGTGCGGGGTTCCTTGCTCTTTTTGGAGTGGGAGTTCCCTTTGTTCAAGGGTGCGGGTCAATATAGGGTGGCTGATTCTTGGTTGGCACTTAAAGCATATTTCTTCGGTGCTGTAGAAGCAAACAGTTCAAATATTTTTTTGCTGTTGAACAGGAAATATAAAGGGAATCCAAAAAGTCAAAGTCTAAAGATCCGACCCAACAGCGGTAGAGATTTGTCGTCCCCCAATTGAACCACAAGTCATACAGTAAATGGTTTGTTGATTGGCCCTATCATTTGGCGGGCATGTGCGCAGTTCTGCGCAGACCCTTGTAAATGGGTGCGGTGCGCCTATGATTTGGCAGGCGTGTGCGCAGTGCCGCGCGGAGCGGGTGTGCATTTCATGTGGCAGGCATGTGCGCAGTGCTACGCGAAAGCAGTTGGTGGCTCATTTGGCAGGCGTGTGCGCAGTGCTACGCGCACGCGCTTGAGCGGGTGTGCTTATCAGTTGGAAGGCGTGTCTGCAGCACTGCATATCGTTTGGCAGACTGACAAGGTGCAAGTGAACGGGCGTGCTTACCACTCCAGGAGCCGAAGCGAATTTTGTGTTGCAGCCGGGCTGAACGTAATCATTTTTTCCCGAACCCCCCCCCCAAAAAAAAAACCGAACTGCGGGTCCTCACAAACACGACACCTTTCAGTAGCGTCAACTTCGGAATAAACGAGGACCGTACTAGTCACAGGTGCTGCCCCCTTTAGTATGGGATTCATTTGCGGGGTGCCCTATTTCCAAGAACCCTCCATATCTTATGAGCATACCCTGAAGAGTCCTTGCAAAAGGGTTGAGGAGCATTAGGAAACCCACAGGCAGTATTCCTGCACGATGCCTGCTGCGTCAAACTGAATGTCCAACCGGGAATATCAGCACAATACAAAACTAACTGATTTGACCTTTCTGTCATCAGTGTTTGAAACCACCCTTTCGGAGAAAGGAGGGTCGCTTCTTTGGTGGGTCTCTAAGAGTGATGGCAAGAAGATGACAAGAAGGCAGGAAGATGGCAAGGTGCGCCCAACAACGGTGGAATTGGACCCCAGACGCAAGTCTCTCCGGTTTGCTTGCGGTTTCCCCTGTGATCCAGCAGGAGTGGGTCCTTCTTGTGTTGTTTTGTGCTTTCTGATCAACCAACAGTGAGTCCTGTTCAATTTGAGTTGACACCGTGGCCAACGCAGGAAGCTCAGGAGAGCAGGAGTGATGGGCTTGCCATCAACCATCGCCTGACTCCTGTAGGAGTGGCTGAATTGGCGGCTCGAGGATTCGGAACGATGCCAAAGACGACCCTCCAATTGACGCCGGCAACCTCTGTGCCTCAGGACCTCTGACTTGAAGCGGTGGCGCGGTGTCTCTTGGGACTTGCTGGGGCTCTTCGCGAAGAAATTCCCAGTGGCTCCGGGGACCTGAAAACTCAAGGCACTCGAAGAAATGTAGTTGGACATCAAGAGGATTATCAATCTGACAAAACTCGTTGCGCAGGACAATGGCCATCGGAAAAGATCTGGGAGCCATCCGTCATGCCCCAAAAGGCGCTTGGCTCTATAAGCCCGGCCGGGCCGCTGGGGATCCCCAGCGAAGGAACTTTCCACATGGAGTTCGGGCGGTCGACCCGAAGGAAAATCAAGAAACCCGTTGAACCATTTGAATCACGTGCTCAAAACCTGGTACAAGAATGGTGAACCCAGAACCATGTAAAGAATTAGAAAGGCGGCCGCAACTATTTCCGGCTGGGACTGCCCCTTACTAACCTTCATCTACCCGGGTTTTGATTGTGGCTCATTTTGGGAAATGGACCGACTGGAATGGGCGGAATCGCTCGCTTCAGACTGGTCTTCTCCCACTCCTGATCCTTCATGAAGGGGTAATGGACCCACAAGACAAGCGGCACCAAGGATGGAAAAATGTGGACCTTGGGGTCCGAGTTTGCAGACGTGCTGGAATCTCTTCGACTTTGCGGTTCTTTTTTCCTTCCTTCCATTTGGTTAAGCCCCCTGGAAAAAATACAAATATTTCCAGAAGTGATAGATTCCCTTTAAAACCAACAGGGGAACATGAGAAACCTATTTCTTAAGCAACTGGAAGCTTCAGTTTGTCGTCCCTTCTGCCGCCAGAGTTCAACTCGAAGCAACGCCCAACACGCCGTCGCACTCAGGCTCCCACGACAGATACCCGGGGAAGCGGAAGTACTCCGGGACGATGTCTCGGAGAGCCCAAGGGATGCAGACAGAAAGCATCCAAAAACGGCTGTGGGTGTCAAAACCGTTCAAGGGGATCCCAGTTTGGGTGGGATTGGTGAATTCACCACTCATTTTAGAACCTACTTGTGGGTCCAAACCAATAGTACCATTTTGGTTGGTAGGTGAATTCGCCACCCATTTTAGAACCTATTCTAGTTGGGATGTTCACGGGGATTACGGGGATTTTGACCCATGGCCATGTCTGGAAAAACTAAATGGCCCTGGCAAATGGAATACACACCATCTGTTTCTAACCAGGCTAAACACGACACCTATGGGCAGGCACTGTTGCTTGGTTTAGGCCCATGTGGGATGCCCAGGTCAAAGGATCCCTTGGTAAAATGATTGTTTGTTTTGTTTTCGTTTTTTTCCCGAAAGGAGTGTTGGCTTCGGAAAAGTGGAAGCCAATAAGCAAAGGTGTAGTCGTAGTTAGGTTGCACCCCCCTTTTCGACAGCTTGGAGGTTGGTCAAAAGTAGGGGTCCTTTTCGGTATATGGGTCAAAATCCAAATCGTGCCCCCAGTGAACATCCGATTCAATCCAACCACAAAAATAGGTTCCAAAATGGGTGGCGAATTCACCTACCAACCAAAATGGTACCGTTGGTGTTGACCCACGGCCATCTGTGGGTGGACGGATTCCATTTCGCACCACGAAATGAAACCATGGTTGAAACCATTGTTTGTTGGCACTTACAGGGGAATGAAATCATTCCGTTGGGTTTCCTAGGTGCGAAATGGAATTGGCAACCACCCACAGTATGGCCACATGGGTGTGGCTCAAAAACTGGGGGTCCAAAATGGGGGGTCCCTGGTATAGGGACACAATATATAGACGAAAACCTGCGTAACCCCAGTTGCTTCATTTTGAGCCGCCCATATTTTGAGCCACCCGTCGCCGGGGTCCAACCGAGCCGCAGCCCATGGCCGCGAACATGGCCACGCGCCCGTTCTTCAGCTCGCTCTCCCGGCGGCGCCGGAAGGTGGTCACGTCCCCGTCCTGCACCGCTGGAATGGAGGCATGTGCCGTGAGGGGGCCCCGGATTTTTTTTTTTTTTTTAATGGGAAACCAACATGGAAAAACCCCACAAGCAGTGGGTCAAAGCCTTTGTTTGGTCGATGTTAAAGGGAAACCAACATGAAAAACCAAACAAACAGTTGAGAAAGGTCCATGTCCTCATTTTGAGACGAACCCTAACGTCAACCAGAGGTACTTGGGGGTGCAAGTAAAAAGCTGGACATACCCATGTGCGTTCCAAAAGACGACACCTGAAACGGATGGTCGCACCTGGGCTCCAATTCAACACCGTACAAGAGCTGGTTCCCAGTCTTCGCCTTTCGACCCCGGCAGGGGAAGTAGAAAAGGGTCTGAGAATAGAGATGTGAACCCCAAGATGGTGGCAAATTGCAAAGGGTACCTTTGGCCTTGAAAAAGAGAAGCCCACAATTGGCTTCTGAAAAGGGCTGGGAAACCAAAGTCATCCAACGAGCTGAGACACCTCGATTTGTGGAAACCCTCGACATCCGAATAACCAAATGGGAGCGTGTCTATTTTTCTTACCTTAGTGGAAAACAAAGGGGACCCCCCAACAAGCCAAAAATCTAAGGAGCTACTTCCGGAGAAGTTTTGAGGGTGCCCTTTTTCGGGGTTGGTTGCAAGGTACCCTTCAGGGAAACTCGGTTTCAGGGGCTCCGAGCAACCCGAGGCTCGTGAAGATGCTGTCAGCGTATCAAAACGAGCGGCGCTTCTTGATGCTGGGTTTGATCTTCGACCTTTCGAGTCCCCGACAGTCCCAAATGTCACAAACGTCATTCCATACCTCAGCTGCCCCTTGACCAAAACTGCGGTGTTGAGTCTGGTCCACAGTTGGCCTTAAAATGCAAAATATGATCAAAACACCTTGCCAACCTACAAGTTGCCCCTCAGGATGAAGCCACGAGATTCATGGTGACCCCCAACGACTGTTCTTTCTGTGAGCAAAAAAACCTTACCAGGATCCTCACAAGGAAGTGATCCTTGGAGTGCCCCATCAGCAGCACTGTTGATGTCTCCCGGCTTGCTGACGCGCCCGCTGTCGCTGGACGGAACACGGACGGCAAATTCTGGCCTTTCCGAAGCAGCCCTGGATCACAAGTGTGCCATAAGCCACTTTGCTTCAATGCCACCTCAAGGCTAGGCGCGCAAAGAAACTTCACACAGGACGATGTGAGGACGGAACTTGTCGAAGCTCGCTTTTGACCAATGCTCCCTGTCCAACTGTCTCCACCAACTTGTCTCAGTTGTACGAATCCAGTTCAAAGTTGAGCAAATGCTGCAAAGGCGAAATATTGGCCAGCTGATGTTTGAACGAAATTGCACCTGATGGGCAGTTGGTTGTCAGTTTGCAGGCATCTCATTCCCAGCAACGAAAGGTCATCTATGCCTCGCCTGCAAATTGCGGGATCCAAACCCCCAAGTCACCCTATCAGCGTTTTGCGAAGGTGGGATGTAGGGCTGGGGAACGCACTGCAAACCAGGAAAAGCCGCTTTGAGAATACGGCCCCCGTCCATTGAGCGGGGTTGCCGGAAGAAAACTCCCGGGATCTGACTCCCGCCAAATGGGTCCCAACCCACATTCGGCGCATTCGGCGCATTCGGCGCATTCGGCACATTCGGCCCTTGGCTTTGAACCTTTGATACTCCAGGTGCAAGCCATGGAAAGCCATGTGGTGCACGCATGAACCCAGATCTTTACCTAAAGTCGACATAGGCAGCCCAAAGGGAACTGCGGCAACCAAAAGGAAACCCCAAAAGAGAAACAAAAAGACTTGGGATCCCTTTAAGGAGCAACCCATATATTGGCATCCCTTTGTCTAGGAGCTCCTCAACGGCAAAGCCAACACGCCTGGCGCTGGGCCCGGATCCCCCGGATCCCGCAGCGGATCCCCCGTCCTTGGACATGCCCAGCGGGTCGAAGTAGCCCACCGGCGCCTTCGGCGGATCAAAACCCATGGCGAGGGTCGTTTTTTGAAGATACTGTGGGTGGACGGAATCCGTTCGCACGAACTGAAACCATGGTTGAAACCATGGCTTGTTCTCAGTTGCCCAAAGGGCCCAGAACTAAAAGGTCAACCTTGTGGCACCTCTACTAAAAATGGACCAAATTGGAAAACCGAAAAGTCAAGAGGTCGATTCGCTTTGGACAAGTGAGTGTTGGCATTTACGTTGGGGAGTCGAATCATTCCGTTGGGTTTCTTAGGTGGTGCAGGACTTAGTCCCACAGTAGGTGATGGCGATTTACCAACCAAAAGAAGCCGAAAGCGACAAAGAATCCCCCCCCCCAAAAAAAAAAAACCGGGGGAAAACAAACAACCTAAACCAAATTAATAATAAGTAATACCCCTCCTTTTCAAGAAGGGCGATGGCTTTCTTGTTCGCCAAACCGCAAAGCGATGCCCTTGAGAAAAGCAGTCCACAGATTCCAGGAAGCAAGCGTTTCCAGTCCACATGGCTTCTGAGACATGGGCATGTTCGAAACTATTTGTGGGACATGGCCATGAAAAACGGCCATGTCACTTCAGCAATGCCAAAGTTATTGCTTGCTTTCCCCTCCAAAAGTTGCAATTTACTGGTGGCTTCCATTGATTCTGCCGCTTTCGGAGGTTCCCAAAAGGGAAATGGAGGAAACCCTGTCCACATGGCTACGTTTTCACCAAGGGCGATCCTCTTGTATACATGGGTCGGGTGCCACAACCTGCCCTGTGCTCCTTGGCTCCTTGGCAAATGGTGGGGCCAAGATTCCTGGATCAACTATTCACATGGAGTACCGGGTTTAATTCCAAAAAATGCACTCCGGCAAACATGATGGTGACAACCTGCCGTGTTCTATGGGAGTGGCTATATCCAAATACAACTTGCACAAGCAGCAGCAGCAATTGTAAGAGTGGTGATCATGCATAGTAGGAGTAGTGCTAGTACACTAGCACTAGCGCTAGCCGTAGCACTAGCAGTAGTAGTAGAACAAGACAGAAGGAGTAGACGTAGAGGGAGTAGTAGAAGTAGAAGTAGAAGTCGCAGTAGAAGCAGAAGTAGAAGTAGCAGTGGAAGCAGTAGAAGTAGTAGTAGAAGCAGCAGTAGAACCAGTAGTAGTAGTAGTAGTAGTAGCAGCAGCAGCAGCAGCAGCAGCAGCAGCAGCAGTAGTGGTAGTAGTTACTCGTTGTTGCCGATCGATCTACCGATTGGCTTGTGTGTGATATGCGGCGGGTTCACTTGCTTTATTTTTAAGAATCGGGGGTGTCCTTACCATAGGATTTGGGCCTGAAACCATTCGAGTAAATCAACGCGTCGCCAGGAGCAGGTTGAAGGCCACTTTGCAAGACCCTTCGCAGTTGCCCTCTTCATAGCTGGCTGAGGCAAAACCCCTCGCAAAAATTGGCCAACAGCTACAGACCACCCACCCCCCAGGCACACGAGAAAAGTTTGGCCTTTGCCCTTGGGGCGGAACAGAGCAAACCCAAAGCCAGTCCCTGGAATGTCTGCAAAAAAATGCTACAATCCCAGAAGCTGAACTAAGAATCGGATCCCCATGTGACAACTTCGGTGACGCTTGTTTTCATTTCAGGACCATTAGGTCATGGATGAACCAACGTCCAAATGCTCTGACGGCTTTGGTATCATGGCCTACCCCCGACTCGGTGAGCTCGCAGCCCTGAAGCCGCCTGCACCCCGGTCTCGTTCTCGAAGGCCCTCAGCGGGCTGTCCGTGTAGTTGGCCCAGTCGCCCCACGCGGAGCCCGTCAGCCCGTCCTGCACCATGGATGCGGGGATCCGGGACAAACGGAGGTGCAGGTTGTGTATATGTATGTATGTATATATATATATATATATCATCTGTGTATTATATATATGTATATATATATATATATACATATACATATCAAGGTATTCTATATATATATATATACATGTATACATCTTATATAATATATATATATATAGATTTATGCATACATACAAAGGTTTGGTTCGGGCTCCTACAAAAGGGGGCAGCTGGCAACCGTCCTGGTTCCTGAATTGAAATCTTCCGCGTAGCTAGACAGGTATTTTCAAGGGCTGATGACCGTAGGGAGGTCTAGCCCCATGTGCGGAGACTACAGGAAGCTTGGATTCAAAGAGCCGAACCGATGGATCAAAGATCCAATCTGCAGGGACCCTCCGGCAGGTGCGTGGCCAACTGCCAACTCACCTCTCTGAAACCCAAACCCCAGCATTCTCCCCGGAAGCCATCAGGTTCTTCCCCGGAAGCCTTCCGGGAACTGGGAGGCATCTCTTAGATTCTGTCGGAACACTTTGTGGAGTTGCTGGTCAAAATGCAGCAGAACACTTGGCTGTGTGTGTGTACGTGTCTGTGTGTCATTTCTTTGGTCTTGAAGGCGCAATGCACAATCGTTGAGGTCTTCGGTACGAGAGATCCCCCTGACCCTTCTGGGAGGTGGGGTGTGGTAGGATCCCTGATGTTAAGCACCAAAGTGTCCGTTGTTATTTTCACCCCCTTCGTCTGTTTTGACTCCTCTGCTCTTCACCACGCGGAACCGAAAAAGGAAGCCTCTCCTAAAACTACGATGCACAGCAGCACTTCAGTCCCGTCTTCTGCATACCAAAACAATGTTTCTTGCTGGCAGTGAATCTGTCAAAAAGCGAACCCCTTCTGGATACTGAAGGAAAACCAACAACTGAAAACCATTTCTAGATGGTCAACTCCTATGTGTCGATACACCAACCTGGCCTTTGTTGGAAAAACATATCCCAAATCCCTTCAAGATTCGACCTCCAAATGCTTACTCCAAACAGGTACCCACACTTGGCTCCACACGTCCAACAAAAACCTGCAAACCCCCTACCCTTCACAGCCCTAACCTCGCCAGATTTTCCGGCACCGACGACCACGGCGTGCCCGCGCTCGCCTGGAAGAACATCCCGATGATCGCCATCATCGCCTCAGCATCGATGGAGCGCGTCGATGGAGCCAAATGGTTTTGCTAGATTACAGGTTCTAGGATCCAGGTTGTAGGTTATAGGCGGGTTTAGGGTTTTTGGGTTTGGGGTTTAGAGTTTTAGGGTTTAGGGTTCAGGGGTGCACAATTCTAAAGACTCGCGGTGATCGGTTTCTCCGCAGTGTCGGAGAACCCCTGCCAGGGCGCACTCCACGCAACCATTGCCACGCGATCCAGCGGACCTCATCACACCCCGCAGCCTTGGGAGTCGCGAACCTGGTTTTACAGCACACACAAGGGTGCGTGCAGTCGCGAAAGTCATGCTGGCACATCCGAACACAACGCATCCACTCCCCGTAAGGCATGCGAATGCATGCAAGAGAGTGTTGACTGCACTTGTCAGCAGTGGCAGTAGCAGCAGCTGCTACCGTATCGCTTCTGTCAATGGAACGCATGGTTGTTTTCCTTCTCTCCCCCTTTTACCCCAAACCAAAAATACAACCAAAAATACCTTCAAAAAAAAGACACACCCAAATTGACTCAACAAGGATCCTCCAGTAGGTCCTCCAGTAGAGAGTCTAGAATAAGGGTACCCTTTTTGCTGTAGTCTATTTTAGTCGGGGAACTCCCCCCCAAAAGAAAAAAAATCGGACAAAGGGCACCTAGTTGGGGACCTAGAATCCAGGAAGTCCAGAAACCAGACACCAAATGTCAACAGTTCGACCCTTCCGGTGGTTGTCTGATCTTTCGAAGCCCAACGATCGGAACCCAGGATTCGTAAACCGCCCCCAAATAAAGAGGAAGCTCGAACGCTGGCTTGCTCCCCAATGGTCTTCCCACCGGTAAAGTTCAGAAACTCCGGCAGTTTCTATATCAATCAACTAGGCTTCTTAGTTGTTGGTATTCAACTATGAAATCATCATGTTTGATTTGTCACTTCCAAATGTAAAACCGATCAACTAGCTTCGTTGCTGTTGACCCCTCCGCAAAGAGTTTTCAACTTCTTGTGTGTTGAATAGAAAATTAGCTTTCCCCCCCCCCCAAAAAAAAAAAAAAGAGCTGAAGTCTAAAGATCCGGTAGCCAATAACAATCAAACAACTCCGTCCGTTGGTCGCTGGTCCCCCCTCGAATAAAACTGGTTGGTGCTCAGGGAATGACCTTCCGGGTGTTGGGAATGAGCTGGTTTCGGGGATTCCCTGAAAGAACACCAAGTCGGAAAAGTGGGCTTCTCTGGGCTCATTCCATGCCTTCGCTGCATCTCTCGAGCCGATCGCAAGAAGAAGAAAAAAAACACGGCGCCCTTCCATAGGTGTCCTTTTAGGGGAAATAGATGGGTTCCTCTGGTAGATGATCTTGCACCACCAGAAAAAGAAAAAAACAAATCAAAAACAGGAATCGTCATCTATTTTCCAGCAAAACAACCCAAAAAAGGGACCCCTCTGCGTCCCCTGCCGCACGCCCCCGGCAAACCCCCCAACCCGCGCCCAGTCTTCGGGCCGAAGGCGCCAAGCGCCCGTTCGCCAGCTCCGAGTTCAGCTTGCGGTTGCGGCCCTCGCCCGGCGCCATGGTGCTGCCGTTCGGCACGCCCAAGACGCCTGGCGCGATATGGCAAGAACCTGGAAGTTGGACCATTGGATGGGAGAGCTGGGGGGTTCTCCAAATTCTTCTGTCAAGAGTTGGACCGGTTGGACCGGATGGTTGGACTGGGGGCCGGAGAGCTGGGGTTCTCCCAGCGTCTTCTTTCAAGAGGGAGCTAAGCTGAGCTACCAGGAGCTCAACGCGGAAGGTGGGCATCCGACAGAAGTGGACAGGTCCCATTCCGATTAACCAAATTCCTGTCCCGTTCCTTCCATTCCGGTTCCCACTCATTCCCGTTCCTGCTCCCCAAAGGAAAGTCGTCTTAGATCAGCTTCGCTTTGAGAATGGTTGGAGTGAGGGTGAATGGGCTACCAAACGGACCCCGATGTTGGACTCGCTTGGTGCTTGGTGGCGCACGGCATTGCGTGGAAAGATTTGTCTGGTGATTTCCGCGGAGGGACGAGACCTTGACCTGCTGAATAGTTCCGGACCCAACCTTGGTTCTATCGGCACACGGCCACTCTCAAATACCAAAGCCTGCGCAAGGCCTTAAACCAAAATAAATATGTTGAAAGTGTGACTCGCACCTTCCTTCTGAGTGGCTCCGATGTCATCAACAATGGGACATATCTTGAAATTCAAATGACCAATGACTCATGCCCATTCAAAACCAACCAGGCCCTGTGTTGGGCTCCCAAAATGCGGAGACCATATCAATATAACTTGGAGTCAAATCGTAGCTGCTTGAGCCAAACTTTGGCGCACCTGGCCGAAATCTCCGAAAACCACTGTTGACCTTAGATGAATCAAGGCGGAGAAGAACTTAGGTGTCCAAACCACTTGGTAAGTAGTTTTCCCCAGTTGTAACCAGGGTTATGGGTGCCCACACCACTCGGTAGGTTGTAACCATGGTGTTGATTGGACTAACCCCCTGTTTCCTGGTTATAATCTACCTGCTAAGTTGCTTGATCATCCAAGTCGGTGTGTTCCTTCCCCTCGCATTGAAGCAACAAGAACCACCTGCTAGAGGTTTAGTTGGGTTCGAAAACGGGGGTGAAAGCGCCAAACCGGGCGGTAGACAGGGTTCCTTAAAGCCAAATTGAAAGCCACCTTGTACAATCTGTTTCAAAGGGTTTCCACATGTGCCCGGCGCTTTTTTTTCTTCTGGTGCATCCTTTCGCTCAAAGGACTCAGAAAAAAAGGTTAACTAAGCTTTTGGGGCCATGACTAACAATGGACCGAAGGGGAAAACCAAGAGGTCAACAGGTCGGCTTTGGGCAGGTGAGTTAAGAGACCCTGCCAATGATAACACCGGATTAATAAACCCCTGCTTGATGAATAAGGGGGTGGGGATTTATCACTTTTGGAGGGGGACACCCCCATATTAATAAACAGGGGTTTATTCCTCCGGGGTTAATAGGGTGTTCTCTTTTCGCTGCCCTCCATCGCGCGGCGAAGTCACCAAGACCTCCGTCAAGCCTGAAGCACTGCGGGCGCATAAAGCGCGCAACTCGGCTGGCGACGGCACCCGAACGCCGAAAACTGCTTGGAGCTTGTTGCGCATGACATTTCTACTTGGACCAAAACATGACAAAGGATGCACTGCTTGATTGAAATCACCGAATCCTAATATAATATGGCTGTGGGTCAAAACCAATGGTTCCATTTTGGGGTAGGTGCACCACCCATTTTAGTCTATTTTAGTGGGATAGGGATGTTCACTGGATATACGGGATTTTGACCCATGGCCATATGACTGCCTGGCGCGTTTTGACGGCGCCAACTGATGGTCACAAGTCTTTCTCAGGCATTGCCTAGACCTGTTCGAGAGCGGCTGATGCCACCTTGAGCAACACTCTCTGGCAGCTCTGCTCACAAAAGGTGTCCTTTGAGTGTTCGAGCACCACGATTGGCATCGAGCTGGTCTTTGTAGTCGAAACATCGCAAACAACGCGAGCAGCAATCCAGACGCTGGGATGAGTAGGTCAAAGGCCTTCGGGAATGCCTTTTGATGTTCATGAATCTCATCCCAAGTACATGCGTCCAAGCAGGAAGCTGACTTCAAATTGTCCCCAAGTCGCAACATCATCTCCAAGCTCAGCGCTTGGGACGTCGACCCACTGCAAAAAGAGCTTTAGCCGTGTCCCGGCAGACACAGGGCTCTGCTCATGGAATCTGGCAAGCATCTTCAGCATCTCTTCTGCGGAAAGGTATCGGCCCTGTTCCACCAACTGATGAATAAGGCTGGGATCCCGGTGGGCCTTCCACCACGAAACTGCAAGTTGCAGCAGCTGCTCCTCAAACTAAGTGCTCATCAGCAAGAACCTCGCAATGCGCAGCGTGGTGAAGAAGTTGGGCGAATTGAAAACGGCCGTATCCCCGGTGTACATCCAGTGCAGAATGTCTTGGAAGCATGCCGGGCAGCCAATGGCGTCTGCTCGCAGCATATATGCACCATCCCCCGACAAATCAGCGTTGAGGAGGTTCTTGAGGTAGCCGCTCTGTGGGACGACATACAGCTGGGAAAAACCACCGATCCTTGACCAGGAGGCAAGCATCCGCAGCGAAGGGGTTGTTGAGCCAGAGGCGCCCGTTCTCCTGCGTCATCTCCGCATGATGCAGCGGGTGCTCACTGGGCAGCGATGGGAACTTGCGCTGGGCGCAAGGCTGCTCTGGCGATTCATCTGACATGGGCGCAGCTTCTCAAGTCGCTGCGCCGCGGAAAAATAAAAGGTGCGACTTGAGCCAAGTCGTCAACTGGACGGACTCATGCGGACAAACAAGAAAGACAAGACACTCGAAGAGTAGGGGCCTCCAAACGGAAGAACCACGCAGCCCGTATGTCATACCGCCGTATGTTTTCTTGGGTCCACTTCCATTGAACCTTTTAGCAACTGGGCTAGTGACGGATTCCAGGCCCCCCCCCAAAGAAAAAAGCCGGCTCAGAGGATGTTCCCATCCCGAGACCCCCCCAACAACAAACACACCCTCACCCACAACATGCCCCCGGCTCCTGCGTTCTTGTAGTCCCCCGGCTGCCGGCTGGGGTCGTAGGTGTAGAGCGCCTTCTCCACAAGGCCCAGGAACAGCAGGATCTGCATCCAGCCGGCGCCCGGCACCTTGAAAGCGGAAGAAGAAGGGTTTAGGGCTAGGGTTAGGGTTAGCCCTTAAGGAGGGGGGGAGGATTCTGGAGGGCTTCTAAGAAGTTTAGGGTTTAGGGTGGGGGGGGGCTGGAACCCTAAGTCCAAAAGCCCGGTCTCCGGATGGGTATGGCTCAAGTTAAAGAGCCAGGGTTACGCAGGTTTTAGGCTTTGGTTCCAATTATTCAAGGGTTTTTTTTGGTACCACTTTTTTGAGCCACAGCCAGATATTGCCGGGGACGGTCAGCCAGATTTGAAAAAGTAGAACAAGGGTACCAACTTCTTTCTGTAGGATACCGCAGGACTGGGAGAAACCTCCATGGGGGGGTACCTGAAATTCAAAAATGGCCTTGATACCCCAGACTTCACCTCAACTGGACTGCTAGGTCCTCCAGTAGAGAGGTTAGAACAAGGGTACCAACTTTTTTTCAGGACGTCTATTTTAAGAAGAAGAACCCTCCCCAAAAAAAGAAACGGTAAAATGTCACTACTGGGGACCTAGCCGCAGACTTCACCTCAACTGGACTGGGAGAAAACCTCCATGGGGTGGTGGGTTACCTGAAATTTGAAATGGCCTTGAACTGGGTCTGCATGAAACCAAATGTTCGCCGGTCCCCTGTTCAAGTTTCCCAAAAAAGCACACGAAAATTACTGGGATCTCCGCATTCCCGTTCAAGCCTTGTCGGACTCACTGGTAAGAAAAGGCGCCTTGCCGCTCAAATCACAAACCTTGACGTCTCCGGGCCGATGTCTGTCTACCCAGTACAATAGACAACCATGGTTTTGACAGCGGCAGCCGAAATAAGAATAAGGCCTGAACGGTGGGGGAGGCTGGGGGGTTGCTTGGGTGTCCCGTATTCATCCAAAATAGACACCCAGCAAACTGTCTAGGTTTCCCTTACCTATCCAAACAGAAACCCAACAACATGTGTTGCTTTCGCTCATCCTGTCAAAAGCTGACACCCAACCTACTGGCTTGGCTTCGCTTCTCCATCCTAAAATAAACCCAACAAACTGCTTTGGTTTCGTGCATCCATCCTACCGCCCAACTGGTTTGATCTGGATTACCAATCCTACAATAAGCCCGACAAACTGCTTCGGTGTCGCTTGTCCATCCTATCGCAAACTGGTTTGGTTTCGCTTACTCATCCTAAGACACCCCCCGCCAAACTGCTTCGGTGTCGCTTACCCATCCTAAAACAAACACCCACCAAACAGCCTTGGTTTGCCTGATCCATCCCAAACATAGACACACAACACGTCTTTTTGCCGTTCCCTTTCGGTTCCCCTTGAAAAACCTGCCCTTCGGAGTTAGGACCCCAGCAAAAAGTATGTTTTTTGCCTGGTTAGGGGAAAACAAAGGGAACCCCAAAAAAGCCAACAAAAAAAAGAAAAGGACTAATTCTGGGGAAGAACCAGGCTCCCCCCTCCCTCCTCCCCCACAGAAGCGCCTTGCCCAGGGCCGCCAGGCCATTAGGCAAGTCTGCGAACTTCACGCCCTCCGAGGGAGAGCAGAAGCCTGGCGCGGGCTTCGGCCGGCTTCGGCTCGCTCGATTTTTCGACCGCGGAGCAAGGGCTGTGGGGCATAGGTTGACGTTGGAAGGGGAGCAAAACTCCTCAAGTTTTAGCAGTCAAGTGGTTGGATTTCAACCACTAAACCACAATAAGCAAAAATGCAAAATGTTTCCCAACGACAAGCATGGGCATAGGTGGATGGATGGCTGGGGGGGTGAAGGGGGATGTGGATGGAGTGGTGGGTGGACGGGGGGGGCCCCTTTGGAAAAATAGATGGCCCTGGTGGAAGACACCCCCATCTAGGCCAGGGCCTTGATTGTTGCAGCAAACCAACCAGAAAGGATACCAATGCTATGGGGCCTCGAAGGAAGCTCCAGGGTAAACCTGGGCAAGCTGCAAGGCAGGGTTCCAGGAAGGGTTTTGGGGGGGCGTGCTGTTGGGATACCATCTGGGCTTATTCGAGGCTCGATACCCGCTCTGGCGTGCTTTTCCGGAGCAATCCAAAGGCGACAAACACCATTTCGGGGGGGTCCCCCCTCATTTTGACACACACCCGAATCAGCGGTAGGAAGCCTGGCCCTTTGCAAATAGAATATCCTTCTCTTTCCATCCTCTTGGCCAAGCAAACAACGTCTCTGCCAATAAAACAGGCAGAGCCTTATCTGCAAAGCACCCGAAGGATGCCAACAACAAACCAGGTCCTCCCCCACACATTAGCAGAAGGAACCCCAAAGCCATCCGGTGGAGGAAAATCCTGGGAACTGGGCCTCTAAATTGAGGCTCCTCTCAGTTGTTGAAAGGACCTGGAACTAAAAGGCGATCACCTTTTGGGGCCATGACGAAAAATAGACCAACATGGGACAACCTCTGAAAAGGGATGTGTTGGTTTCCTTACGATTCCGCAGGGGTGTACGCTTGTTGTTATTTGTTTTTGTTCAGCAATGCTTTCAGGGAAGCCACTATAGTGGGTAGCCAGGAGGAAAACCAACAACTACAAACATCATACATTTCCCAGGTTACGCACTGAAGCAAGCAAGAGCTTCAGAGTTCTCCCTTCTTTGTTCCCGCTGTCAAGAGAACAGTAAAGGAGGGCGGAGTGCAACTCCTTTTGTTCAACCACGGCGGAAATGGGTGTGCCTTTTTTAGGGTACCCCTGTTTGCTGGCTTACAAGGGAAACCACAAGGAAAACCACAATTTTGGGGTCCCCTTTTTTTAAAAAGGCACACCCAAATTAGCCGTGAAGCTTTAAGCGCCCCTTGTTATACACCCCTCCAATTGTTCGTAAGGAGCTCCGTCTGGTTGTGTGAACCAAGATGTGGCCCATCAACCGGAACGCGTTCTGGGCAACCGGTGGAAACCCCTTACTGAGTGCTACAACCCAACGGAACCGGGCATGTTGCTCCAAGCAAGCGTGAGGTAGTTTGCGTGCATCTCCGGTTGCAAATGCTCGAATTGTTGCAAGAAGAACATCCGTTTGCTCGAGCCCCCAAAAATAACACATTTCCCGTAGTGATAGATTCCCTTTCAAACCAACAGGAGAAAATAAAACATACGCACAACAAGGGAAACCCCTTGAATGCTTAGCTGGACTGTACATTCCGCTTTGGTCCTGTCGCTGGTGCATTGAAATTCCACCTTCCCTCAGTTGAGCTGAAAACAGTCCCGATGGGCACCGGAAGGTGTGCATTCCGTCCTGGTGTCTGGCTTGGATGAAATTTATGCTACCCCACTCCCAAATCCCAGTCTCAAATTAATCATAAACAGCTTTGGACATGTTGGCCACACCCCATTCCGGGAGGTGGCTGCGAGAATGGCTCCCCTTGTTCCATGTTGATCCTGAATTCTGGAAAATATGGATTTCAAGCGGTCCAGCCCTGGTGGTTATGTTTTGACCCATACCCATCCGTGTCTGGTGCGGATGTTGGCTTGTGTAGGTGTAAGATTTCAGCTTGAACAGCTGATTCTTGCGGCCTTGCTGCCCTCCACATCTGTGGTTTTCCTATCACCTCAGCCCCGACCCCCCCCAAAACCGCCCACCACCCCGGAACCCGCTGCGATCGAATTCGATCGAATTCTCAAGCGCCTGGGAAGCGCGAGTACTCCGGGGCGATGTAGCCCATAGTGGCCAACATCGCCACACGCCCTGCCATGTCCAAAGACCCCAAGGACGGATCTTCACTACCAATAGGCGGTAGCAGCTTTCCCGGATCCGGATGCATGAAAAACACCGCAAGAACATTGCAACTTGCAAATAGTGGTGTCCAACTTTATCTTGGTGTTGAAAAAGCCGCATGTTTCAAATGGTTGCAAAATGGAGATCTTTTAAGGAGCCCTGTAGCACCCCCGCCCCCCCGACCAAAACAGCAGCCCAAAAAGGGCGACACAAAGCGTGGTGGTTGGTTGCCAGCATGCAAGGCGGCCACGCACTAACCTCCCCCCCTCTCCAACGAACCCCAAGGCCTCAGACTCCATGATGCACAAAGTGAACAAGCCCTTTTTTGCCTCTTGATGTTAAGCGCACTTGCCGAAAGTCGCAAAGAGGCAACCCGCTGTCTTGGGTAGGGTGCCCCCTTTTGTTGGTGGAGTGAGGAAACCGAGAGGAAAACCGGAGCCATTCTTTTTTTATTGGGGGGGGGTCCACCCGCCAAGAAAAAAAAACGAAAACAGCCCCCCCCCCCCCCCATGTTTTGAAGTGACAAGCACCCATTTTGGGGGGGCCCAACCTCAAAAAAGAAACAGGACAGCCCCCCCCTCCCATGTTTTCACCTGCGCTCGGCCACCCTCAAACCTCCGCCGGCCGCGCCGTTCTTCAGCTCCGTGGCCCTTCGGCGCTGGAAGGCCTCCGCGTCCCCGTCCTGCGCGGCTGGGCGAGGCGAAAAAATCCGCTCGTCGGGCCAAGCGGACTTGCTGCTCGAAATGAGCTGGAAGTGTTCGAGAAATCCCTTGGTGGTGTGCTTGAAAGAAGACCCCGGACTAAACCATCCCTTGCTGGTGGTTTCCTTTCAGGGGACCCGCAGGTTCAATGAGAGCTATGGAGTCTGACCCCGAGCAAACACCATCCAACTGGTGGTTGGTTTGGCATAAAAATCATGTATTTACACCGCACAAGGACTAGTGGAAAGGAATTGAAAACCCAAAAGGGTAGATCATGAAAAGGCCAACCTGCACGGGTCAAAAATATTCGTTCCCCCACAAGGACCTGGGAAAATGACCGCGGTCCCGAGGACATGAGGTCCATTTCTCTCAACTGAATGAATCCCTCACCTCATGGTGTATGGTCTGGGTTGGTTGAAAGGGAAACCACGAGGATCGGTTGCCCTGAATCGGCCGCAAATAAATAAATAAATAAATATATATATATATATATGAACCTCCAAGAAGCCAACCACGGTGACCCTCCCTCCAATCATGGAAGTGGACAAACGGAAGTCGTCTCCTAAAACCTGCTCGTCAGCTTCCATTGTTTTTTTTCTGGGTCTGGTCTTCCGGTTTCATTTGGTTTCCCCTTTCAACCGTCCAAAAAACGGGGGACCTCCATGTTTCAACGGGCGCCGCTTTTGGATGAGGGGCGTTGGCCGACAAAAACACTCACCGCCGACCATTTTTGTTTCGCTGCCGGCGCCTTCGTAAGCCCAAAAGGATCGAAGAAGCCCACCGGCGCCTCGCGGATGGCTTCGGAGGGCCCGGGAAGGACGTCAGACGCGCGGCTTGGGTTAGGGGGTTCTAGCCTTGCGGCCGTTTGTAACATGGGCATCTGGTCACGGGAACCTTTTTTTCTGTGGAGTCCGTCCACCCTAAGATTAAAAAAATCTCGGACCCCGGAAGTATGGTAAGGGCCCTTAGAGCGAACGGAGAGACGTAGAGGAAAGCGGTGGAAAACACGAAGTCCCTTTCAGGTTCGGCCACTTTTTGGCGTTGGCTTGGAATCAACCTGATAGGCCACTATTTGTTCACCAGTCCAGGAAAAGTCCAGTTTCGGCTGACTGTTTTTGGGTGTTGATCAAAAGGTCCCGCCACTTGGGATGACGAGTAGGAGAGCCACCTAAACGGGAAAAGTAGCAGCAGCAGCAGCAGCAGTCGACCTACAGCTTCTGTTAAAGAGCCTCCATGGCTCGGCTGAGAGAGGAAGTGCGCGAGCGGCAAAAGTCAAAATTTGCGGCAGTTGGTCAAGCGGGGGGCAAGCGCTGCCCAAAGAAGAAGTAGACCCCGCCAGCGTCAGACCGACCGATCGTTGTCACGGGCTATGGCCCAGCGCAGGGGGCAGCAAGGAGGTGAGAGGGAAGTGGTCCTTCGATCACAAGCTGCCTCTTGCCTTTTGCGAGGTCTTTGTCACCTCCGGCCCCTCTCACCCGGCGGGCCAAGAAGGTGCGTCTGATCTCCACCTCCGCCGCCCGAGTCGCATGCGTTTCCACACCACGCAGGCAACCTGAACCCCTGCCAACCGCGCGCGGAGCTGCATGAGCAGAGATCGCTCCCACCACCTCCGGGCACAGGTGACGCGCCAGTGTCACCGCGGCTCTGCCACAAGCCACCAGTTGGCTGTTCGCGGGCAGCACCCTCACTTCTTGGGCAGTTCTTGAGCAGCACGCCTTGCATCGCCATCGTCTCAGTTCCGGCGGGTGTCACGGTTGTCAGGCGAGCACCACATTTCCACGCTGCATTACGATTTTCCACAAGCGCCGGATACTCGCGCCCATGAAGTCTGGTGCACACACTGACATGATGCGTCGTCTATTCAAGACATGTCTGCCCTGGCAGCTTCTCAGCGCCGCCATAAATACGCTTCAATTTTAAGCTGAAAGAGATTGCAAAATCAGACACACGCCCCAAGGCCCGACAGAGCCATTCAAAACGCAGGGCTGCGCCAATCACGCATGCTGTTGTTGCCTGGTGTAACAAACAAACAGGGGCCACCGCCAAAAAAACCTGCCACTCCAACAACCAGCGAACGTGCACAACGGTGAAGATGCAAAGCGCAAAGATGGAAAGGACGCTCGGGCACGCGGACAGCCGCTTGACGCCAAAAGACGTCGACACAGCGCGGCGCGGGGCACTGCGCCAAAGAACGCTGGGCTTTGCGACGACGTCAGGCCATATGTGTGCACAGACGTTCCCAAAAGGACCGCGCAAGAAGCGTTTTGTTCGTCATCCCGCGCCGTCATCGCCTGAAGCCCTCATTTCATTTTGGATTCGTGTCTATGATGCGTGTCCGCCGACGTAAAGAGCTTGTTGCAGCACAAGCACCTCAGTTGAGCGTCACCGCCGCCACGACACTGACCGTGTTGCGCATCAGGTTCGCCTGGCGGCCCCTGACCATTTTCCATTAGCCGCGCTTGCGTACGCAGCACCGCTTTTGGACAGGGTACGTGTTGGGCACTTGCCTTCATGTCGAGTTCGCTTGCGCATGGTCTCGAGCTCTTTTGAGCAGCAAGAACACTCCAAATTGGCTTGCTTCGTACCCCGACACCGCAGCTCGTGTTGCTCCTGCTTCATTCGCGCACCCATGACCACGTTGCACTGGCGTTAGCAATGCTGTCGGCAGTTCGCCTGGCACGCCATCGGCGCACTGCCTTTCGCGCGCGCGGCGCAGACATCGGTGTGGCGAAACCGCCAGCCGCACCGACGACACGTTTCAGCCATCAAGCAGCGCGCATGTCAGGCTCAGCGTCTTAGCAGCCAGTGTGTTTGTTTCCCCCACCTAACGCTGAGCCCCCTTCAAATGATCTTGTTCACCTGTTCGCGGAGGGTAAGCGCGCGACGCCCACTTTGATCTTTCTTTGTTCGATCAAGAAGTAGTCCCAGAAGTGCGCCGTCTTCCACCTGAGGTGTCCACGTGGCTTTGTTTCTTTGCGGAAGAACACCCGCGCACGTACACCCGCTCACCTGCGGTTTCATCTCAGGTTTTCTAAAGTACAAATTTACGACGCTTGCGGTCATCGGTGTTTGGCGAGCGCGGGACACGTGCTTCGCGGAAGCGGGTGGCGCTGAAAGGCTTTTTGGAGATCCGCGTGTTTCAATAGGCAAGGCGGGAAGCCGGGACCTCCATGTTTTGACGTAAGCTTCAGAGTGTCCGTTTCCAACTTCGCACACTAGTTTCCATGGGAAACTCCAAAGCTCGAGCGATGGTTTCGCGGCTGCGCAGAGCCAACGCGCAAGCTCACCACCCGTGCGAACGAGTTTCAGACTATCACATTCCCTCTGGTTTGTGGTTTGTACCACGGGTTTCCGAGCACCACGCTTGAGTTTTTGAATGCTAGTTCCCGAACCCAGCATTGCCAGTTTCCGAGTCTTGTTTCCTAGATCCAAATATTCCGAATTAGATACTAGTTTCCGAATACTAGTTTCCGAATACTAGTTTTGGCAGGCATGTGTGCAGCGCCCAGCGGGTGCACGTGAGCGAGTGTTCTTGCCATTTGGCAGCACCGAGGGGGTGCACGTGAACGGGTGTCCTTACCATTCAGCAAGCATGGGTGCTGCGCTGAGCGGGCGCGTGTGAGTGGGTGCTCTTACTATATGTGTGCAGCGCTGAGCGGGTGTACGTGAGCGGGTGTTCTTACCAGGTATGTGCACAGTGCTGAGCGTGTGTGTAGCGCTGAGTGGGCGCACGGCAACGGATGTTCGTAGCATTTGGCAAGCATGTGTGCAGTGTTGATCGGGTGCACGTGAGCCGGTGTTCTTACCACGTGGCAGGCATCTGCGCAGTGCTGAGTTGGTGCGCGGGGGTTGCTGCGTCCTTCTATTTAGCTTCTGAATCCGGCCGACTATTTAGAATCTAAATCCGATCTAGGAGTTTCTGAATCCGACTCTGGCAGTTTCTGAATCCGACTCCGGTAGTTTCTGAATCCGGGTTTCTGAATCCGACTGATTAGTTTCTGGGGTCTGAATCCGAAAAAGTTTCAGAGTACGACTTTGTTCCCATGGGTTGTACTCTAGCGTAGCTAAGAATCTGTTTTGACTTGATCGAGGATGACCCCCGTCGAAAAGTTTGAGTCGGAGGTCACCCGCCTCTTGCCGGAACGGCAGGTGCAGGGGAGAGGACAGAGCCACGCCGAGTCCCCAAGGTGGACGTTGAACCCCCCAGGAGGTTTCCCTTGTTCTTATTGGAGGTCGCCAACCCCCAAACCGCTCACGACTTCTCAAGTTGCCCACGTCATTCGCTCCCAAAGGCAACTGTGCCCACAGTTCAAGCGTTGGACAAACAATGGGCTCAAACAACCAGACCCTGCTACCATTTCAAAGCGAAACAAAATGAAATCATTTTAAACAACAAATTGAAACACATGGGTGTCCCTTTTCTGAGGGTACCCTTTCTTGGGGGGCTTCAAAGAAAAACCGAAAGGAAACCAGGGGTTGGACGGGCGCGATTCCTATCAAAAGAGGAGCGGAGCCACCCATATGGCCATGGGTCACAAGCCCGTACCCCCAGTGAACATCCCAATCCCCACTAAAATGACCAAAGTGGGTGGTGCACCTACCCCAAAATGGTACCATTGGTTTTGACCCACAGCCATTTTGGACAGGCCCGATTCCTATCAAAAGAGGAGGAGCCACCCATATGGAGCAGGGATGTTGGTCCAACCCTGGCTCGCCCTTCCAAACTCACAGCTCACTGCCTGCACTCCGAGCTCGTTCTCGAAGGCACGCAAAGGAGAGGCGGTGTAGTTGGCCCAGTCACCCCAGGCGCTGCCAGTGAGACCATCCTGTACCCGACCGGTCTGTCTCAAAACAGGGAACTCCTTGACTAATCTTCCTTATAGGGGTCTATCTCAAAATTAAAGAACCCCTAAGCTTGTGATTTTCCTTTTGGTTTGGTATACGACCACAGAATTTACACTTCCTCCCGCAAACAGAAGGCATCTGTGGGGTGGGGGGGGGGGGGGCGGGTATGCACCTCAAAGATCAATGTCCCGAATGTAGATGTTCCACGTACCAGTCCGAGTTCACCCCCGCCCTCTCCACCCCACTCATGGTCATGGTCCCCCCCCCAACCCCTGTGGGGCGGTTGTGGGTGGGGTTGGCGACAGGGAAAAGGCCAACCCTGAAAGTGGTTTGGGGGTTGGACAGTCTCGAGTGTCGAGTAGGTTTCCGCGCCGAGCCTGCCAAAAGGTTCCAGGTACGTGTCCCATGCAAGAAACACACATGACCCCAACGAGTGCTCAAATATTAAAAACGGTCATGGGGCAAAAAGTAGGACTCCACATGCGACAAACGATGTGAATCAACTGAAAAGGGAAATACAGGTGAACGTAGCTAGCACTATTTGAACTATGCGGGCCAACTACGTCCACCCAACTGTGCAGAGATCCCAGCTAAACACCAAGCCAAACTAGGGTTGCCGCACGCGCGCGTGCCGGACTCAAACCAATCCAAGGGCCGGCTCATATGAATACGACCAAGCCGCTTGCACAAGATCCAAATCCAAACATGGGACAAGTACCACAAAACATGTCCTCAACAAGCAGAGGTGCTTGTGGTGGTGGCATCACAACCTATAGACTTGATCTCCTTCGCCCCATTGCTCCAAGGCCGAAGTCCCAACGGCGAATTTCAGGGCACGTGGGGAAAGGCCACGAAAAAAGACTACCACGTATTCAGAGGCATCTCAAACAAGATCGATGTGTCTGTCCTCCAAAACTCGGTTGCTTTCTGCTCCCCTGCCAAAAGCTTAACTTTTAGCGGCTTAATGGAAAACCCACTAGTTGGCAAAAAGTCAAAGTCCTAAAATCCAAGCAAAATGCACCAAAGATAACGCATACATCAAGATGCAGACATGCATTTCCCCAACACGGCCGTACAGCATAATACCACTGCTCGAAAGCACTGCGGTATCGCCTGGAAGAACATGCCGATGATGGCCATCATGGCCAGGCGGCCGTTGGCAAGCTCGGCGGAAAGCTTCTTGGTCTTCTCCTCCGGATCCGAGGAGGTCAGGACCTTGAAGCCGTAGTCTCCCGGAGTGCCGGTCTTGTAGTCCTCAAAGCCACCGCTGAACTCCACAAAGCCAAAGTAGGCGGCGATCTGCGCCCATCCTGCCACGGGAACCTTGGACACGGCAGCCAGCCCGTTCGGGATGTCCGCGAACTTCAGCCCGGCTGACGGAGACAGGAAGCCTGGCCTTAGGCGGAGGTGATGCGGTAGCAACGGGGTGATGTCAATAAGCTTGAATGCATTCTATGCTCGCAAGTGCTGCCCATCAGCTGACACCAAAACACCACAAGTTGGCCTGGCAGGCATGTCACGTTGTGTTCCGTCATGATACGCTGATACGCTAGGCATGTCATAGCATGTGACACCGTGTTATGTTATGTCAGGTCGTGGCATGGCATCTTTCGGGTCATGCCATGTCATGCCATCTTGCATTGCCTCATGCCGCATTCACAAGTCTCTGCTGCCAACATCAGGGCTGAATTGATCACAGCAAACGAGCACGCATGCACAGCGAATGCACCAAGCACGCACCACACACCAACACCCAGCTCGACTCATTCAACTCAGCTCCAGGCAGCTTGCCCGTGATCTCAGGGGTAATGTAACCTCAGCCAAGACTCTTACTCTTGCCAGCACTTTTTGTGTTCAATGCGTTCCTGCCCAACCGCTACCACGTCCTCCTGTGCTTGCTGTGCTGTTCAACTCATGCGACATGTATCAGCCAAGGAACAACAAGAAAAGATTGAACAGTTCTACAATGACTTTTTTCTGCCGATGGTAACTGTGTTGCTCTGCACAAGGCTCAATGATTATTGCATGTCATGCTTCGCCATGATCAATGTTACTGGTTCTTCTGCTTCCCCGTTGCTGCTGTTACTTCTTTTGGCTACTGCTTGCTGCTGCAATTGATTCTACTGCTTCTACTGTTTCTACTCCTCTTTCACAAATGTCTAGTCCTTCTATTCCTTCTACGTCTTCTTCCGCCGCACGAGCTAAGATCAGCCTAGACACCCATGGCGGCCATCATGGAGATACGTCCGTGCTTCAGCTCCACGGATCGGCGGCGCTTGAATGTCGAGACATCGCCATCGGAGGTAAATCCGACGGGGTCCCAGAAGCCCACTGGCGCTTGCACCCCGAGCTCGCTCTCGAAGGCACGCAGGGGAGAGGCAGTGTAGTTGGCCCAGTCACCCCAGGCGCTGCCAGTCAAGCCATCCTGTGCGAGATTTCAGCTAGCAATTACTGAGTAACTACTGGGATCAATGAAGTGATAAGATGCAGTATGATGCACTATGACGCACCAAGCACGTACGCATACATGCTGTGAATATCAAGGAAACGGGCTGATGTCACCAACCCTTGTGATTTATATCAGCCAATATGACTTTTCTGCATCTTGAAAGTCTGATGTGATCCAACACAGCGAGTACCGTTCATCTGTCTCATCTTTCAATCAAGGATCAGGAGTAGTGAGCCAAATGGTGTTAAAAAACAACAAATCTATAAAGCACAGATTGAATACCGTGCATTTGTCAATAAGTTCATGCGGCATGTATTACCCTCCCTCCAACAAACATAGCCCTGAAGATGACTTTCCTCTTGCCCTGTGTCAGTTGCCATGTTAGTGAGAGAGAGGGTAATCTGCCTGAACTCACCACGCAAGCTGGGTATCTGTGACGTGTTGCTTATCCTCATCACCTTTTAACTCTGCCAGCAACATAAGCAGCATAGAGTCATGTGCCCATGGCACCTGGAAGAACATGCCGATGATGGCCATCATGGCCAGGCGGCCGTTGGCAAGCTCGGCGGAAAGCTTCTTGGTCTTCTCCTCCGGATCCGAGGAGGTCAGGACCTTGAAGCCGTAGTCTCCCGGAGTGCCGGTCTTGTAGTCCTCGAAGCCACCGCTGAACTCCACAAAGCCAAAGTAGGCGGCGATCTGCGCCCATCCTGCCACGGGAACCTTGGACACGGCAGCCAGCCCGTTCGGGATGTCCGCGAACTTCAGCCCGGCTGACGGCGACAGGAAGCCTGGCCTTAGGCGGAGGTGATGCGGTAGCGACGGGGTGTTGTCAATAAGCTTGATTGCATTCTATGCTCGCAAGTGCTGCCCATCAGCGGACACCAAAACTCCAAAAGTTGGCCTGGCAGTCATGTCATGTCACGTTGTGTTCCGTCATGATACGCTGATACGCTAGACATGTCATAGCATGTGACACCGTGTCATGTTATGTCAGGTTGTGGCATGGCATCTTTCGGGTCATGCCATGTCATGTCATCTTGCATCGCCTCATGCCGCATTCACTAGTCTCTGCTACCAACATCAGAGCTTCATTGATCACAGCAATCGAGCACGCATGCGCAGCGCATGCACCAAGCACGCACTATACACCGACACCCAGCTCAACCATTCAACTCAGCTCCAGGCAGCTTGCCCGTGATCTCAGGGGTAATGTAACCTCAGCCAAGGCTCTTTCTCTTGCCAGCACTTTTTGTGTTCAAGGTGTTCCTGCCCAACCGCTACCACGTCTTCCTGTGCTTGCTGTGCTGTTCGACTCATGCAACATGTATCAGCCAAGGAGCAACAAGAAAAGATAAAACAGTTCTACAATGACTTTTTCTGCCGATGGTAACTGCGTTGCTCTGCACAAGGCTCAATGATTTTTGCACGTCATGCTTCGCCATGATCAATGTTACTGGTTCTTCTGCTTCCCCGTTGCTGCTGTTACTTCTTTTGGCTACTGCTTGCTGCTGCAATTGATTCTACTGCTTCTACTGTTTCTACTCCTCTTTCACAAATGTCTAGTCCTTCTATTCCTTCTACGTCTTCTTCCGCCGCACAAGCCTACATCAGCCTAGACACCCATGGCGGCCATCATGGAGATACGTCCGTGCTTCAGCTCCACGGATCGGCGGCGCTTGAATGTCGAGACATCGCCATCGGAGGTAAATCCGACGGGGTCCCAGAAGCCCACTGGCGCTTGCACCCCGAGCTCGCTCTCGAAGGCACGCAGGGGAGAGGCAGTGTAGTTGGCCCAGTCACCCCAGGCGCTGCCAGTCAAGCCATCCTGTGCGAGATTTCAGCTAGCAATTACTGAGTAACTACTGGGATCAATGAAGTGATAAGATGCAGTATGATGCACTATGACGCACCAAGCACGTACGCATATATGCTGTGAATATCAAGGAAACGGGCTGATGTCACCAACCCTTGTGATTTATATCAGCCAATATGACTTTTCTGCATCTTGAAAGTCTGATGTGATCCAACACAGCGAGTACCGTTCATCTGTCTCATCTTTCAAACAAGGATCAGGAGTAGTAAGCCAACTGGTGATGTGAAAAGAACAACAAATCTATAAAGCACAGATTGAATACCATGCGTCCTTGTTGATGAATTCATGCGTGCAGGTATTACCCTCCCTCCAACAAAGATAGTGCCTGCGGGCCGGTACTCGGAAGATGACTTTCCTCTTGGGGGGGTACCCTGTGTCAGTTGCCATGTCAGTGAGAGAGAGGGTAATCTGCCTGAACTCACCACGCAAGCTGGGTATCTGTGACGTGTTGCTTATCCTCATCACCTTTTAACTCTGCCAGCAACATAAGCAGCATAGAGTCATGTGCCCATGGCACCTGGAAGAACATGCCGATGATGGCCATCATGGCCAGGCGGCCGTTGGCAAGCTCGGCGGAAAGCTTCTTGGTCTTCTCCTCCGGATCCGAGGAGGTCAGGACCTTGAAGCCGTAGTCTCCCGGAGTGCCGGTCTTGTAGTCCTCGAAGCCACCGCTGAACTCCACAAAGCCAAAGTAGGCGGCGATCTGCGCCCATCCTGCCACGGGAACCTTGGACACGGCAGCCAGCCCGTTCGGGATGTCTGCGAACTTCAGCCCGGCTGACGGAGACAGGAAGCCTGGCCTTAGGCGGAGGTGATGCGGTAGCGACGGGGTGATGTCAATAAGCTTGATTGCATTCTATGCTCGCAAGTGCTGCCCATCAGCGGACACCAAAACTCCAAAAGTTGGCCTGGCAGTCATGTCATGTCACGTTGTGTTCCGTCATGATACGCTGATACGCTAGACATGTCATAGCATGTGACACCGTGTCATGTTATGTCAGGTTGTGGCATGGCATCTTTCGGGTCATGCCATGTCATGTCATCTTGCATCGCCTCATGCCGCATTCACTAGTCTCTGCTACCAACATCAGAGCTTCATTGATCACAGCAATCGAGCACGCATGCGCAGCGCATGCACCAAGCACGCACTATACACCAACACCCAGCTCGACTCATTCAACTCAGCTCCAGGCAGCTTGCCCGTGATCTCAGGGGTAATGTAACCTCAGCCAAGGCTCTTACTCTTGCCAGCACTTTTTGTGTTCAATGCGTTCCTGCCCAACCGCTACCACGTCCTCCTGTGCTTGCTGTGCTGTTCGACTCATGCAACATGTATCAGCCAAGGAGCAACAAGAAAAGATAAAACAGTTCTACAATGACTTTTTCTGCCGATGGTAACTGCGTTGCTCTGCACAAGGCTCAATGATTATTGCACGTCATGCTTCGCCATGATCAATGCTACTGGTTCTTCTGCTTCCCCGTTGCTGCTGTTACTTCTTTTGGCTACTGCTTGCTGCTGCAATTGATTCTACTGCTTCTACTGTTTCTACTCCTCTTTCACAAATGTCTAGTCCTTCTATTCCTTCTACGTCTTCTTCCGCCGCACGAGCTAAGATCAGCCTAGACACCCATGGCGGCCATCATGGAGATACGTCCGTGCTTCAGCTCCACGGATCGGCGGCGCTTGAATGTCGAGACATCGCCATCGGAGGTAAATCCGACGGGGTCCCAGAAGCCCACTGGCGCTTGCACCCCGAGCTCGCTCTCGAAGGCACGCAGGGGAGAGGCAGTGTAGTTGGCCCAGTCACCCCAGGCGCTGCCAGTCAAGCCATCCTGTGCGAGATTTCAGCTAGCAATTACTGAGTAACTACTGGGATCAATGAAGTGATAAGATGCAGTATGATGCACTATGACGCACCAAGCACGTACGCATATATGCTGTGAATATCAAGGAAACGGGCTGATGTCACCAACCCTTGTGATTTATATCAGCCAATATGACTTTTCTGCATCTTGAAAGTCTGATGTGATCCAACACAGCGAGTACCGTTCATCTGTCTCATCTTTCAAACAAGGATCAGGAGTAGTAAGCCAACTGGTGATGTGAAAAGAACAACAAATCTATAAAGCACAGATTGAATACCATGCGTCCTTGTTGATGAATTCATGCGTGCAGGTATTACCCTCCCTCCAACAAAGATAGTGCCTGCGGGCCGGTACTCGGAAGATGACTTTCCTCTTGGGGGGGTACCCTGTGTCAGTTGCCATGTCAGTGAGAGAGAGGGTAATCTGCCTGAACTCACCACGCAAGCTGGGTATCTGTGACGTGTTGCTTATCCTCATCACCTTTTAACTCTGCCAGCAACATAAGCAGCATAGAGTCATGTGCCCATGGCACCTGGAAGAACATGCCGATGATGGCCATCATGGCCAGGCGGCCGTTGGCAAGCTCGGCGGAAAGCTTCTTGGTCTTCTCCTCCGGATCCGAGGAGGTCAGGACCTTGAAGCCGTAGTCTCCCGGAGTGCCGGTCTTGTAGTCCTCGAAGCCACCGCTGAACTCCACAAAGCCAAAGTAGGCGGCGATCTGCGCCCATCCTGCCACGGGAACCTTGGACACGGCAGCCAGCCCGTTCGGGATGTCCGCGAACTTCAGCCCGGCTGACGGAGACAGGAAGCCTGGCCTTAGGCGGAGGTGATGCGGTAGCGACGGGGTGATGTCAATAAGCTTGATTGCATTCTATGCTCGCAAGTGCTGCCCATCAGCGGACACCAAAACTCCAAAAGTTGGCCTGGCAGTCATGTCATGTCACGTTGTGTTCCGTCATGATACGCTGATACGCTAGACATGTCATAGCATGTGACACCGTGTCATGTTTTGTCATGTTGTGGCATGGCATCTTTCGGGTCATGCCATGTCATGTCATCTTGCATCGCCTCATGCCGCATTCACTAGTCTCTGCTACCAACATCAGAGCTTCATTGATCACAGCAATCGAGCACGCATGCGCAGCGCATGCACCAAGCACGCACTATACACCAACACCCAGCTCGACTCATTCAACTCAGCTCCAGGCAGCTTGCCCGTGATCTCAGGGGTAATGTAACCTCAGCCAAGGCTCTTACTCTTGCCAGCACGTTTTGTGTTCAAGGTGTTCCTGCCCAACCGCTACCACGTCTTCCTGTGCTTGCTGTGCTGTTCGACTCATGCAACATGTATCAGCCAAGGAGCAACAAGAAAAGATAAAACAGTTCTACAATGACTTTTTCTGCCGATGGTAACTGCGTTGCTCTGCACAAGGCTCAATGATTATTGCACGTCATGCTTCGCCATGATCAACGCTACTGGTTCTTCTGCTTCCCCGTTGCTGCTGTTACTTCTTTTGGCTACTGCTTGCTGCTGCAATTGATTCTACTGCTTCTACTGTTTCTACTCCTCTTTCACAAATGTCTAGTCCTTCTATTCCTTCTACGTCTTCTTCCGCCGCACGAGCTAAGATCAGCCTAGACACCCATGGCGGCCATCATGGAGATACGTCCGTGCTTCAGCTCCACGGATCGGCGGCGCTTGAATGTCGAGACATCGCCATCGGAGGTAAATCCGACGGGGTCCCAGAAGCCCACTGGCGCCTGCACCCCGAGCTCGCTCTCGAAGGCACGCAGGGGAGAGGCAGTGTAGTTGGCCCAGTCACCCCAGGCGCTGCCAGTCAAGCCATCCTGTGCGAGATTTCAGCTAGCAATTACTGAGTAACTACTGAGATCAATGAAGTGATAAGATGCAATGTGATGCAGTATGATGCACCAGGCACGCACGCATATATGCTGTGAATATCAAGGAAACGGGCTGACGTCGCCAACCCTTTTGATTTTTTTATCAGTCAATATGACTTTTCTACATCATGAAAGTCGGATCTGATCCAAACACAGCGAGTACCGTTCATGTGTCTCATTTTTCAACAAAGATCAGGAGTAGTGAGCCAAATGGTGTAAAAAAACAACAAATCTATAAAGCACAGATTGAATACCGTGCATTTGTCAATAAGTTCATGCGGGCATGTATTACCCTCCCTCCAACAAACATAGCCCTGAAGATGACTTTCCTCTTGCCCTGTGTCAGTTGCCATGTTAGTGAGAGAGAGAGGGTAATCTGCCTGAACTCACCACGCAAGCTGGGTATCTGTGACGTGTTGCTTATCCTCACCACCTTTAACTCTGCCAGCAACATAAGCAGCATAGAGTCATGTGCCCATGGCACCTGGAAGAACATGCCGATGATGGCCATCATGGCCAGGCGGCCGTTGGCAAGCTCGGCGGAAAGCTTCTTGGTCTTCTCCTCCGGATCCGAGGAGGTCAGGACCTTGAAGCCGTAGTCTCCCGGAGTGCCGGTCTTGTAGTCCTCGAAGCCACCGCTGAACTCCACAAAGCCAAAGTAGGCGGCGATCTGCGCCCATCCTGCCACGGGAACCTTGGACACGGCAGCCAGCCCGTTCGGGATGTCCGCGAACTTCAGCCCGGCTGACGGAGACAGGAAGCCTGGCCTTAGGCGGAGGTGATGCGGTAGCGACGGGGTGATGTCAATAAGCTTGAATGCATTCTATGCTCGCAAGTGCTACCCATCAGCTGACACCAAAACTCCACAAGTTGGCCAGGCAGTCATGTCATGACACGCTATACATGTCATAGCATGACACACCGTGTCATGTTATGTCATGTCATGGCATGGCATCTTTCGGGTCATGCCATGCCATGTCATCTTGAGTTGCCGCATGCCGCCTTCACAAGTCTCTGCTGCCAACATCAAGGCTGAATTGATCACAGCAAACGTGCACGCATGCGCAGCGCATGCACCAAGCACGCACTATACACCAACACCCAGCTCGACTCATTCAACTCAGCTCCAGGCAGCTTGCCCGTGATCTCAGGGGTAATGTAACCTCAGCCAAGGCTCTTACTCTTGCCAGCACTTTTTGTGTTCAAGGTGTTCCTGCCCAACCGCTACCACGTCTTCCTGTGCTTGCTGTGCTGTTCGACTCATGTGACATGTATCAGCCAAGGAACAACAAGAAAAGATAAAGCAGTTCTACAATGACTTTTTTCTGCCGATGGTAACTGCGTTGCTCTGCACAAGGCTCAATGATTATTGCACGTCATGCTTCGCCATGATCAATGCTACTGGTTCTTCTGCTTCCCCGTTGCTGCTGTTACTTCTGTTGGCTACTGCTTGCTGCTGCAATTGATTCTACTGCTTCTACTGTTTCTATTCCTCTTTCAAAAATGTCTACTGTAGTCCTTCTATTCCTTCTACGTCTTCTTCCGCCGCATGAGCTAAGATCAGCCTAGACACCCATGGCGGCCATCATGGAGATACGTCCGTGCTTCAGCTCCACGGATCGGCGGCGCTTGAATGTCGAGACATCGCCATCGGAGGTAAATCCGACGGGGTCCCAGAAGCCCACTGGCGCTTGCACCCCGAGCTCGCTCTCGAAGGCACGCAGGGGAGAGGCAGTGTAGTTGGCCCAGTCACCCCAGGCGCTGCCAGTCAAGCCATCCTGTGCGAGATTTCAGCTAGCAATTACTGAGTAACTACTGAGATCAATGAAGTGATAAGATGCAATGTGATGCAGTATGATGCACCAGGCACGCACGCATATATGCTGTGAATATCAAGGAAACGGGCTGATGTCACCAACCCTTGTGAATTATATCAGCCAATATGACTTTTCTGCATCTTGAAAGTCTGATCTGATCCGAACACAGCGAGTACCGTTCATCTGTCTCATCTTTCAAACAAGGATCAGGAGTAGTAAGCCAACTGGTGATGTAAAAAGAACAACAAATCTATGAAGCACAGATTGAATACCATGCGTTTGTTGATGAGTTCATGCGTGCAGGTATTACCCTCCCTCCAACAAACATAGTGCCTGCGGGCCGGTACTCGGAAGATGACTTTCCTCTTGCGGGGTACCCTGTGTCAGTTGCCATGTCAGTGAGAGGGAGGGCAATCTACCTGGCTTGGTATCTGTGACGTGTTGCTTATCCTCACCACCTTTCAACTCTGCCAGCAACATAAGCAGCATAGAGCCATGTGCCCATGGCACCTGGAAGAACATGCCGATGATGGCCATCATGGCCAGGCGGCCGTTGGCAAGCTCGGCAGAAAGCTTCTTGGTCTTCTCCTCCGGATCCGAGGAGGTCAGGACCTTGAAGCCGTAGTCTCCCGGAGTGCCGGTCTTGTAGTCCTCGAAGCCACCGCTGAACTCCACAAAGCCAAAGTAGGCGGCGATCTGCGCCCATCCTGCCACGGGAACCTTGGACACGGCAGCCAGCCCGTTCGGGATGTCCGCGAACTTCAGCCCGGCTGACGGAGACAGGAAGCCCGGCCTCAGATCGACAAAGGCACATTTTCTTGATTGAAGGCTCCACAGACTTGTCATCCCAAAATAATATTATCCATCATCTGACCATCTCTGCCGCTACCTTTCTCTTGCAAGGCAGCGTTTTGCTTCTCAAAACAAGTCGTCTGCACCCTGCATGCTGCATCCGTTTTCTCAGGCCCCCACAGCTTGCCTGTGATCTCAGGCGTGATGTAACCTTGCAGCGTTGTGTGTGTTCTATCATGTGTGGATAAATGTTGCTCAATTTTGCTTTCGCATTCTCTAACTCGCTGCTCTGATTCTCTGATTCTATTCATGTGTTGCATCTGTTGTGTGTGTGTGGCTTGATGTGCTCCATCTCTACTTTAGCTGCCCCACTTTGCGTCTTGCATGGCTCATGACTTTTCAGTGTTCGCTGCCACTCTGCGTCTACTTCTTGCCTTGCTTTCACAAGTTGACAATGAGTCACACAAGACACATCAGTCAAGACACCCATAGCGGCCATCATGGAGATACGGCCGTGCTTCAGCTCCACGGATCGGCGGCGCTTGAATGTCGAGACATCGCCATCGGAGGTAAATCCGACGGGGTCCCAGAAGCCCACTGGCGCTTGCACCCCAAGCTCGCTCTCGAAGGCACGCAGGGGAGAGGCGGTGTAGTTCGCCCAGTCACCCCAGGCACTGCCAGTCAGACCATCCTGTGCAATTTTCACAACATGTGCGAACTAAACTTTGGCAAACAACGCTGTGGATGGGCCGAAGGTTTGTCCAGAATGCAAAACAAAACAGACTTACTCATCCTACTCCTTTGTCGATTCGGTCTCTGTGCATTTCGTTCCAGAACATGCGCACGCTGCCATCTTGTCGTCTCACTCATGTCACAAAACATGCGCACACTACCATCTTCTCGTCTCACTCATGTCACATGCATTCTGTTGCTCATCTGTTTGCCCCCAACTGCCAGAAGCAAGAACAAGGATATAACGCCGCCAACGTGTCACAACGTAGCAACAACAACATACACCCCAACACAGTCCCCCAAAGCAACACCGTAGCGCCTGGAAGAACATGCCGATGATGGCCATCATGGCCAGGCGGCCGTTGGCAAGCTCGGCGGAAAGCTTCTTGGTCTTCTCCTCCGGATCCGAGGAGGTCAGGACCTTGAAGCCGTAGTCTCCCGGAGTGCCGGTCTTGTAGTCCTCGAAGCCACCGCTGAACTCCACAAAGCCAAAGTAGGCGGCGATCTGCGCCCATCCTGCCACGGGAACCTTGGACACGGCAGCCAGCCCGTTCGGGATGTCCGCGAACTTCAGCCCGGCTGACGGAGACAGGAAGCCCGGCCTCAGATCGACAAAGGCACATTTTCTTGATTGAATGCTCACAGACTTGTCAACTCAACATGCGCATGTGTATACATATGTATTACACACATTTGTAGCCCCTGCCCACAGATCCACCTCTGTCCTATTTGCTGACACCCATATTGGAGCCAAAAGTTAAAAAGAAAAAACAAAAACATAAACGTAAATGTCTAGTGCCAATGGCCCAAAAGGGGAAGAAAAACAACATGGAGCCAATGATCCAAAAATAAAAACTGCAACGAACATTTATGGAGCCAATGACCCCCAAAAAAAGGATAAACTCTTTCCACCCATGGTCAGAACATTTTACTTCAGGATCACAGGTTTAATTGTTGTGTTCTACTTGTTTATCATGCTTCAGATTTTGCTTCTACATTATTGTTTTGCTTTGTTCACTTGTTTACCTTTTTACCTTTGGGCATTGGCTCCAGAATGTTGCTTTTACTTGTTTACTTCGTTACGTTCTTACTTTCTTACATTTGATTTGTTCTACGTTCTCCGCCACAGTGTTTTTGTCTTCTCTTTGGTGTTCTCGAGTTTTTTCTACTTTCTTGCAATCCCCCCCCCCACCAAAAAAAAAGTGTGCTTGTGTTGTTGTTTCCTTTCAGACACGTACAAAAATGACTGTGTTGTTTTGGGTTTGTCGGCATTGCTCATCAAGTGTTGTTGCTTTTGTTGAGATTTGCTCCTGTATGTTCCTGCTGAAGGTGTGACCACATATCCACACGCCTTGCTTCGACATGCATTGACGTCTTTTGCTGAATACTTGCACCAGCGCAGACAGCGATCTCAGTCTAAATCAGACTAAAAAGAGGATTATCTTTAAAGAGATATTGGAATCTAAATAGAATTAAATGAGGGCAGAGCTGAGTTAGAATGTCGCTCCTTGTAAAGCGGCTCCTGTTGAACCTCATTACAAGGCTCCTTGAGAAGCTCCTTATGAAGCTCCTTGTAAGGCTGGCTTCCATAGCAGGCTACGTACAAAGCTCCTTGCAGGGCTAGTTACAATTATCTTTACAAGGCTGTGGCTCAAAAAACCGGTACCAAAATCAACCCTGGTAAGTGGAAACATGGACCAAAACCTGCGGTTTGCCCCTCCTGTTTGATTTTGAACCACACACACACACACAAAGCTCCCTTTGAAGGCTCCTTGTCCTTGTGCAAATCATTCTAAAGCTGCTTGCAAGTTTCCTTATAAGGCCTCTTATGAAGCTCCTGAATCATGCTCCTTAAACTATCCCGTCAAGGCTCCGTATACCGAATAGGATGTTGAATGTAGAATTTATTGAAACAATCAATGCTATGGACTACCTATTCATAATGATATATATATATATATAATAAAGTAAAAAATGCTGTCCAACCCTGATGTCTTGTGAATATTCTGTTTTAGTAGAGGTTAGTAAGAAAACTGTTCAATCGGAATTCAGGTGACATTCAGACGTTCAATATGGGCTTGCTTGTCCACAAAGAATCCGATTAAATATTATGAAACTTGAGTAGAACTTAATAACGATAGAATCCTGCTCCCAAGTTCTTTGTATAAACAGAATGGTGTTGACTTACATTCGCAGATGAAACAGAAGACAAACAGGAATTATCTGCAATGACCTGCAGGTGAATAAAGCTCCTTATACAGCTCCTCTCCCATGGAGGGAAGCTCTTTTCGAGCGAACAGCCTGCAGGGAGTCACCCAACGCGCAGCGCCGACCAGTTGAGCGGCGCTTGTTTGACCCATTGACTTTTGGCTCCACCAACAGGCTGTTGTCAAGCTTACTGGGCTGTCCGTTTTCAGATCCCCTGCTAAAAGTGTAACTTGTGGGTTTAGTGGAAACTGCCACAAAACCCAAAAAGCGAATCGCTCATTCCTTGTAAGGATCCTTGTAAGGCTCCTTGTGCCAACTAGGATGTTTGAACAAGATCTAATTGGAATTTGAATTTGACCATGCTATATAAGAAAACTGAGGTACCTGTCTTGCTTTAAATGAGGGGGTTAAAAGAAATGTCTTTCCAAGTATGACCTTGATTGTATAATAATTCAAGAATGATTTAATGGGGAAGGCATTGAATCTGAAATTGCTATGTGCAATTTGCATTTGACTATGTATTACTGGTCCAATTGGTTCTCAACAAAATTGGAGTCGAACTTAATAAGCAGGAGGCCTTTGTTTTACACTTGTAGATGCAACATAACACGGACAGAGGTGACACTGCCTTGTTTATTGTGACATACACTTGATTTGTGCCGCAGCTGCTACAAATGACGCAGAAAAGGTTGAACATGTGCGGGGGTTGCATCCATTTGTCCATGCGCTGAGCCGATGCCGGTCAAGTCGCATGGGGCAGTCCAAATAAAACAACTGCATTCTACCTGCAAAATAGCCTTGAAACAGCACTAGGTGGACCCATCGGCAAGGGGGGGGGGGGTAGCATCGTCTCTGCCCTGCTATTTTGCTCTTGCAAGATGGCGGCAGCAGAACTTGGCTCTCGTCGTTTGCACCCAGCATCCTCGGGCATCCATTTTTGTCCGCCCCGCTCAGGCCCCCACAGCTTGCCCGTGATCTCAGGCGTGATGTAGCCTCACAGAAGCTGCGTTGGTGTGTGCGTGTGTGTTCTATCATGTTCTTTCTCATTTCGTTCAATCTTGTTCCCGCATTCTCTCGGATTCTCTGATTACCTGATTCACTTCTGTGTGTTCAATATGCGTCCTTTGCTCCACCTATGCGTGTGTGTGTGTTTGTGTGTGCTCTTTTTTGCGTCTAGCAGCACTAGTGCTCGTATTCTGCACTCTACTTTTACTGCTTGCCGCGCTTGCTCCATCTCTACTCCATCTGCCCCATCTTGCGTCTGGCATGGCTCATGATTGTTCAGTCTTCGCTGCCACTCTGCGTCCACATCTTGCCTTGCTTTCACAAGCTCGCAAACTGCAATTGATTCTACTGCAATTGATTCTACTGCTTCTATTGTTTCCACTGCTCTTTCAAAAACGTCGAGTCCCTCTACTTCTTCCACGTCTTCTTCCGCCGCAGGATCAGCCAAGACACCCATCGCGGCCATCATGGAGATCCGGCCGTGCTTCAGCTCCACGGAGCGGCGGCGCTTGAAGGTCGCCACGTCGCCGTCGGAGGTAAACCCAACCTTGGCTGGAATGCGGACCCCGGCAAATATATATATATATAGATAGATAGATATATATATATATATATATTTATATTTATTTATTTATTTATTCATTTGCCTAGTGGAAAACAAAGGGAACCCCCAAAAAGGCAGCAAAAAAATAAAAAGGGGAACTAATTCTGGGGAAGCGACGGGGTCCCAGAAGCCCACCGGCGCCTGCACCCCGAGCTCACTTTCGAAGGCTGCCAGAGCCACCTCGACTTCGCGAGCTTCGCGAGGAGTTAGCGGTTCGGCGGGGGCCGTTCAGCGGTTTACTGGTGAGGCGCTTCAGGGATTGGAAGAACCTTCTGATGAACAAAGAGCCATACATCTCTTCAATACCGTCCGCGATAGCATCCGATATGATCCGTACGCTTTTTCTGTCCAACCGGAACAGTATCGTGCAAGCGTCATTGCCGAGGCTGAGGCCGCATTTTGCGTACCCAAAGCGATATTGTTGACGGCGTCTCTTCGGGCCGCCGGAATACCGGCGGCCGTCGGCTTTGCTGACGTTCGCAATCACTTGAATTCCGAAAAACTTAAAGCCGCGATGAAGACAGACCTATTTGTCTATCATGGTTACGTACAGCTTTGGCTCAGCGAAAAGTCCTACAAAGTGACACCTGCTTTCAATTCAGAACTCTGCGAACGTTTTGGCGTCAAGCCGCTTTGTTTCGATGGACGCTCAGATGCGCTATTTCATGAGTTTGATGCACACGGGCAGCGCCACATGGAATATGTGGCAGACCACGGAATTTTTGCAGACGTTCCCATAGAGACGCTGTTTGCCGTTTATCGAAAGACCTATCCTGGATTTTCAGACGATGCCAGTGATCGTGGAAAGGCTGATGCCGACACGGCGTTTGCCGCCTCTGTATTAAAGTGATTTTTAGAGAGAAGTATGACGATGGAAGAATTTGATGTCGCTATAATTGGAGCTGGATTCAACGGGATTTACCAACTCTATCGACTGCGACAAGAGGGTTTCTCTGTTTGTCTACTTGAGGCGGGTTCTGATCTCGGCGGCATTTGGCACTGGAACTGCTATCCGGGCGCGCGCGTGGATTCACATGTGCCAGTCTATGAATACTCAATCGAAGAACTATGGCGTGATTGGAACTGGACGGAAAAATTCCCAGCCTGGGATGAATTGCGCCGATACTTTCAGTATGCAGATGAAAAGTTGCAGCTCAGCAAGGATATCAAGTTCAATACGCGCATGACTGCTGCGGAGTTTGATGAAGAGTATCATCGTTGGGAGATACGCACAGAAAAAGGGGAGACGATGAGGACGCGCTTTCTCGTGCAGTGCACGGGGTTTGCGTCAAAAGCGTTTATTCCAGATCTCAAAGGCCTGGAGAGTTTCAAAGGCGAATGCCACCACACCGGTCATTGGCCGCAAAACGGCCTTTCTCTTAAGGGAAAACGGGTCGGTATTATTGGAACCGGAGCGAGTGGCGTTCAGGTTGCCCAGGAAGCAGGCCGGGAGGCTGCGCATCTGACGGTATTTCAGCGTACCCCTATCCTCGCGATTCCGATGCAGCAGAGAAAGTTGGATGCCGAGACACAATCGGAGATGAAGAAAGATTACCCCGAGATATTCCAAAAGCGGCGGGAGACTTCTGGGGGTTTCGATATCAGTAGAATAGATGCACCGGCTCTCAGCTATAGCGAAGAGGAGCGTCAGGCGACCTATGAGAGACTTTGGCAGCTCGGAGGCTTTCACTTCTGGGCGGGCACCTTTGAGGACGTTCTTCTTGATGAAGACG